AAGGGCGCCTCCACGCCGGTGAGAGGCGACGAGGTCACGGCTTTGGATGGCGCCAGGTCCCGCTCGCCCTCCTCCTCGTCCTCTTCGTCGTCCTCCAGGTCGTCATACTTATCCTTGCACTCTGAGCCCGATTCGCACAAGGGGTCCCCGGCGCGGCAAGGCAGCTTCTCCCCGTCCGACTCCGCAGAGCAGGAGTGATCCGTGAGCGAGTCGACGTGCAGGCTGATCCCTGTGGGGACGCGGGCACCGTCTGTGGCACGTGGGGCAGCCCGGGCACCCAGGACCCCTCTGCCCCCACGTCCCAGTGTACCAGGCCCTCCCCATAAGATTCCTCACCTCTACCCAGAACCTACCAAGGCCTATGGGGAGCACGGCCTCCCTGAAAAGCACCCCGAGGAATCTTTAGACCCACTAGCTGCCAGGCCCACTCCTTGCCAGGCGGCTGTAAGGCCGGCAGCGTCCTCCCCTCCCTCAGCTCTGCGCCCCGCCTGGGAAGAAAACGCCCCTGGACTTCCAGCCCACCAGGTCTCGCTCACCTTCGTCCTCCGCCGATGTCTCAGTGCCCTCCTGCGACTTATCCAGACTCTCCTTGCTCCTGGCCGCGTCACCCTCCTCCTCGTCTTCATCCTCGCTTTTGTTCCTCGGGGCCCACGTCATCTTGTTCTCCTTCTTGAGGCGCCGGCGCGCGTTGGCGAACCAGGTGGAGACCTGCGTGAGGGTCATCTTGGTGATGATGGCCAGCATGATCTTCTCGCCCTTGGTGGGGTAGGGGTTCTTGCGATGCTCGTTGAGCCAGGCCTTGAGCGTGGCCGTGGCATCCCGCGTGGCGTTCTTGCGGTACGCTGGGTCATTGAGCTGGTACGGGTAGGCCGCGCTGCCATACGGATGATAGCTGATGGCGCCCGTCATCCCAGTCGTGTGCGCGTCGTAGGGCGCGCCCTGGAACCGACAAGAGCCCGAGTGAGTGGGGTACGCGGGGACCTGGCAGGCAACCTCCAAAGGCAACCCCTCGGCCCTCCCGTGGCCGCCTTTCCCACGGCGAGTCTCCCGCGGTGGGGCAGCGCTTCCCGCAGCAGCAGAGCAGAAAACAAAACAAAACGAAACGAAACAAAACAAAACAAAACAAAAAAACGCAGCGCGTTATTAAGGCCAGCTGTTGATCACAAAAAGCGCTGCACTTTTATTCCCGAATATTTGAACTATTTCACTTTCCTAAAACGGTATATCTTCTTCTGCAAATTCCCTGGGCCGCGAGTATAGACGCACGCAAACACGCAGGGCCGAAGGTAGTTTCTTGATATCTAAATTTTTCGGGATTCTCAAGCACTGAAGCCTCCCCCTTACCCCACCCTTATATGGTTAAAAAATCGCCCCAGCCCCTGCTCCGCCATTCACCAGTCTAAAGCTCCGCAAATCCAATTTGCAACTCAGAAGCCAGTCACCGTTTCGAATTCTTCAAATACGCGGCAATTAGCATTTTAATTCAGCCTTTAACGTTTAAATTTGAGGCTTTTTGCAACCTTCACCAAGGCCCCTGCTACTCGGGCGCTGCCCTGGAATTCCACTGAGGGCGTGCAGTGTCGACCCAAATGCTACCATCGCCCGAAACGCACTCCGCCTCCGGGCCTTGTCAGGAGCAGATCCGAGGCACGCGGACCAACCCCGAGTACGGGAGCAGGAGCTGCTTTCGGTGCCCAGGGAACCGAGAAGGTACTTGGCGGGCCACAGGCCTGCGGACACGTTTTTCGAAAGCACAGCCTTTGAGACAGTTTAAGAACCAGACCACGTCGGGCAGGGCCGGGCCCCGGAGACCCTGGCAGATGCTTCGCCCCTCCCCCATCCCAGTGACCCCCCCCCCCCCAACCTTGTCTGCACATGAGAATCACCTGGGAATCTTTTTAAAATCCTGATTTCTGGGCCTCATCCTCCGGAAATTCTGTTTCTTTGTGACTAATGTCATGGCCCCACCCCATAACAAAGAAACAGAATTTCCGGAGGATGAGGCCCAGAAATCAGGATTTTAAAAAGATTCCCAGGTGACGCAGCCGCCCCGGAGGTCCTAGTGGCACTGACCCTCGCTCCCCGCGCCAAAAGAAGCGAGCCCCGAGCCCGCTGTGGACCCCTCGCCAAGCTTCGGTGCCTGAACTAAGGACAAATCACAACAGATCCCGATACCAGCGTAGTCGCACTTTCCAGACTCTCTGGAAAGTAGCCTTAGGAAGGCGGCGCGGGACGCGGGTCCCAGCCGGACTCAG